TGGAGAAGTAAACAAGAGAAAGAATGAGTGTCCTTAAAAAATAACTTGTAATAGTAATTCTAAAATATAATCAAAATTTCCTAAATAGGAATAATATAGTGAGAAACTAAGGTATATACATGGAGATTTTACACAAATCTAATAATAAACCAAGGTATATACATATTATAGTTAGTAACTTATCAGTAGAAAAATGTGTGAAGACGCCCTGTAAGCCTCAAATAAGTAGGGTACATGGCAAAGTATTTAGAAGTCTTATCAAATGTTAACTGCACAGTAACAATTTGTGCAGACCACAGTGACTAGTGATTGGCACTGGCTATAAGGAAAGCCTTATCAAATGGTATCTGCATAGTCGTTTTAGCAGATCACAATGGTTTGTGGTTGTCACTGGTAACACAAAATAATAAATAACCAAAGTGTATATATACATGATAAACTGGTTAATAAATAAAGTATTTACAGTAGAAAAAAAAATAATAATAAAAGGTGCAGTGTTAAAATACTGTCTGGAGTATATAATAGTTGGAAGGTTCTGTTCAAAAGTTTTCAGAAACCTTCACCTGATAACTGTGTGCAAAACAGAGTTTTGCAATCCACAGGGGCTTGTCGCTTCGTGCTGATAAAGAGTGTGTCCCAGTACAGTAACAAGTTTATACTAAGATCACAGTGCAACATATGCAGCAGTTAGGAAACAAGGATACAGTAACACATTTCCTAATAAAGCAGAAACAGTAGTAACCTGTATCTATTGATGAAAATAGAAAGAGGTTCTGCCCAAGTATCTAACTCATAAATAAATACTAAGCCATATATGCAATACACTTATAAAGTAAACGCCAGTTTGTTAAGTGCATGATCTAACTCTTTACAAAGTGTTGCTGCAGAAAGCTCAAAGTGCAGCTTCTGTGGATAACAGAAAGTGCAAAACCACTAATGCTATGGGGATAGGATAGTATCTGATTAGAAGTGTCCTAAGTTACACTGACTAATGAAATGGCTAGATACCAAATAATATAACTTAATACCCCAGAATAGTCATAGTCCATAGTGGTAACACATACTCGGGATCCGGAGACATGACGATCAATTCTAATTTTACATAAGGTAAGTATAACGTCTCAGGAACACCAAGTTACCCTGACGCACGCGTTTCGCCCACAACTCATCAGAGGGGAACCCTCTGAGTTATCCACAGAAGCTGCACTTTGAGATTTCTGCAGCAACACTTTGTAAAGCGTTAGCCATGATCATTCATCTCTATATCTTTTTAATTTTATGTAATTGAGTTGAGAATCATAGTGTAAGGAAATTTCTGTTTTTTTTGTATTTTGCTTTAGATTTTGATCTATATGTGTACCAACATCATTGAAGTGATTGTGTAAGTTGACTATTTGCAATATTGTAAGGTCCATATTGAGTGGGTTTTTAGATTATAACGTGTTACATTTATGACTGCCAGGATTATTCACTAAAGTGAGAATTTAAGGTGAATTCCAAATTTAAGGACAGAGAATTTAAGGACAGAGAAGCTGAACTAAAAGTATAGAATATAAATAGAGTAAGGGTAGAGCTTAACAAATTTTTTTTATAATAATAAATAGTAATTATATGAAGCAATAATAATTAAATAATTAGTTACAATAATAATAAATATACTCATAATACTACTACAAATAATAATAATAATTATTATTATTATAGAAATTATGTCATACATCTATACTAATTCTGAACATAAAGTATAAAATAGATATGTAAGGACATTAAGCTAATGTCAGGATAATGAAATGATCCTCAGCAAAGCACAGGCTACAACCTACCACAAGCGTTCAGGAAAAAATATAGAGGCATATTACCGGACATTAGAATGGCTGAGCGTAATGCTCAGATAGAAAATAGACATTTGAGAGCAAAAGTAGACATAAAATCAGGTCAGGGTAGTAAAAAATAGACAAAATTACAGTTTTACAATTCACAAGGCTACTTAAAATCACCTCTCTCAGCAAACAAATATGGGGATTTAGTTCCACCATATAGCCATATACACAGTTACAGGATAAAAAGGAACAAAAGGATTAGGCAAGAACAATGCCAGAAACAAGTGTCTGGTAATCAGTATCAGGAGAAATAAAATGAACTTAAAGGGACACTATAGTCACCCAGACCACTTCAGCTCAATGAAGTGCTCTGGGTGCCAGGTCCCTCAGGTTTTAATCCTGCAGATGCAGACATAGCAGTTTCAGAGAAACTGCTATGTTTACATTGTAGGATTAAGCCAGCCTCTAGTGGCTGTCTTCTGTCCGCTGACACGAGGGAGTGACCAGCGCTGAGGGAGCCTGGCGCTGGAATAAGGTAAGTAACTGAAGGGGTTTTTAACCCCTTTAGTGCCACGGGTGGGGGCACCCTCAGGGCACTTTAGTGTCAGGAAACTCACTTTGTTTTCCTGACACTATAGTGATCCTTTAAGGATCCGTGAACCACAAAAGGGCACAGAGTCACAAACAGAGAGAAACTATATATTCCCATGTCCATTGAGTCAGTTCTGTGTCATTGATGCATGCATCATGCAATAATTAGTATGCCAAGGTATCAACATTAAAAGAGGCATGAAGTTTGCAGTCCATGTCAAGTAAGTTACAAGGTGGAAAGAATGATACGGCCGTGTCCTATTCTCAGACTACCAAGAGCTGTGGCAGATACAAAGAGTTAAGCAGTGGTGTTAGTTTTGGAGAAGCGAGTGTCTAAACACTCTACCATGAGGAACATAAGGTGCGTCATTCTTTTCAACTTATTATATAATAAGTTATAATATTTTACAGGAAATAATAATGAATAGTCAAACATACTATTCGGGGTAGGAAAGGAAAGGGAAACTTGGAATTAGGAAAGGGGGATCCATCCATATTAGTAGACACATGAAATAATGTACAAAACATTAGTTATATATTGTTTAGGCTTAATATATATATTATATTATATTATAAACAAGAGTCTTTTTTAATGTCTTCTTCCCATTTGTCCCAAATATATTCAATTTAGGACCCGAGCATCCCTGCCAGAGCAGTGCAAATTTTCTGTAAAGTAACACATTTCACTATAAATATAGAAAATATAATGTTGTAACAACACATTTCATAGAAATATAGAAAATGAAAACTAAATGGTAATAAAATTACTTTAAATAATGAACACACAATGTTCATCAGGTTACTCTTTGAACTTGGGTTGTTAGTGATTCAAAACTGTGAAATAGCTTGAATGTGTTTGTTTACTTTTTGTAAATACAAACTCTTCATTTCTGTAATATTACTAACAACACACATGTCTGTAGGCTCTACCTCCATGGCTGAGATACTCAAACTTGATGATCACAGCTAATCTAATACTTTCCCATAGGAAAGATCAGCATCTCATGATAGAGAAGTATTCAGTGCAACTCTATGGGAAGCACTCAATGCCTCCTTGGTGAACGAGGAACGACCACTAGTGACCATCTGAATGACTGCTACCACAGGTGTTACTATGCAGTATTATAAACACTTCAATTTTTATGAGAAGGCACTGTTCACATTAAAAAGCCTGCAGGGCCAGGTTATATACACCAGAACCACTACATTAAGCTGTAGTTTTTCTGGTGACTATAGTGCCCCTTTAAGGTAAGACTTAAGCAGACTTTTCTGTAAAGAAAATCTAGTTTGGGATAACCGTTTTCATAATTTAATTTGTAAGAGAGATCAGGACCCAGCTACATACAAATATATTAATATGTCCAGGTTGCAGTTAGATTTTGTACTGATGTTTATTAGTTGAAGCAATCTTGGCTTTGTTTAGAATATAATTTACATTGTTATACCAGATTAAAAAAAAAAGACACCTTATTTTTAGAATCTGTCTTTTAAGCTCTGAGCAATTATACTGTAGCACAGCCTCAGGTTGTGATACATTTTATTCACTGTTTAGTTACTGTTGAGTGCTTAGCAGAAAAGGCAACAATTACGGTACTTTTGACACTATTAGAGACTACATGTTGAAGTCTGAATTAGAGCTACCATCTTTTTAGATACTTATTAACCTAGGCATCTGCCCACAAAAGGTACTTTAATAGCATGAATTACTTCCATTGTTTTGCAGAATGTATTTAAAATGTTGTTATAGTTGAACAGTGGAACATTGCATTTTTAATTAAAGAAAGGGTTTCCAGGGGGGTGGGGCGGCATAGTGGCTAGACGCATTTCACTTGTGCTCCAAGCTTGTACCTCTCTTTGAGCTGTCTAATTGAACAAAATCACCCCTAAACACTCTTCTGCCATGACTTACCTAATCCTCAAACCAACCGGGGCCCTGCGGTGCATTTCTGTGGCTGGAATCACCTATAATTCCCGGAGGCACGGGTGAGGCCTGGTCTAGCGAGGCAGCTGATCGCTAAAATCAGGTGGCGCTGACTTCCTACGGGATACTGGGTAGCCCCATTTACCCCTCTCTGGACCAGTGGGTCCCCACTGGTAAACCCTACTTACAAGCAGGCTCCTACAGTGCTTCTTCTATGCATACACTCACTCTTACACTGAGAGCCTCACGCACTCTAGATGGCGACTGCCTCCACGATGGGTGACAAACACCTGACACAGCATGGGAAGCTAGCCTCGGATTTGGTTGAAAGGCAACTGGAGGCTATATTTGACCTCTTCAACGCCACCCTAAAGGCAAGACTGATGAGACCGAGAGACATAGAGGGTGACTCCCCTATGCATCGACCACAAGGGCAGGCCTGGTGTTCACGTTGGTCTGGTGAGGGAGTTGATTGCTAAAACCAGGTGGCGCTGACATCCTGCGGGATACTGGGCAGCCCCATTTCCCCCCCTCTGGACCAGTGGGGGTTATCCTGGTCCCCACTGGTACACCCTACTTACAAGCAGGCTCCTACAGTGCTTCTACTATGCATACACTCACTCTTACACTGAGAGCCTCACACACTCAAGATGGCGACTGCCTCCACAATGGGTGACACACACCTGACACAGCATGGGAAGCTAGCCTCGGATTTGGTTGAAAGGCAACTGGAGGCTATATTTGACCTCTTCAGGGCCAACCTAAAGGTAATACTGGCAGGACAGAGAGCCAAAGAGGGTGAATGCCCTATGCATCGACCACAAGGGCAGAAGACTGACCGCATGTGGTGGGAACAAAACACCTGGCACTTCTGTCTCTCACTAGCGGAGGAGGACTTGGAATCTTTGAGCCCCCGAGTCAGTGGGCTGTGGGTGCTGGAGAAGGAGGTATGGTCCCCTTTACCCTCCTTCCAGCATACCCTTGCACCACCTTAGTGCAACTCCTCTGAGTCCACCACACAAGGGCATTGTCTGAATGGGAACCCCTAAGTAAAGCAACAGTCTGGTCCCTGATCTGAGACTCTCTTATACCTAGCGGAGGATCACAGGCTATTCATTGCTTACACCATATGAGTTAGCTTTCTTTTCAATTTCTTTTTACCTTTACAGCTGACACTATTTCATAGCAGTTCCAACCTTGCATGGGTCAAAGGGGCACACCTAACTCCTAACGTGACCCAGTGGTTCTCAACATCAGCAGTACTCAAGCCTATACATTTTTAGCACTTCATATTTTCTGCTGTGACATACAAACTTCTAATTCCTACTGTTTAATACATTATTTTAAAAAAAACAAAAAACAAAAACAAATATGCAATGCCACACTGTTTAACTCTGTTAATTGATATGTTTGCTTTAGCTGCTGTGGCATTACAAACTTTTCTGTTGAACCTATGCACAAACAAAATAAAGAATTAAAACTAAAAGAAAGGGATGACAAACTAATACTTTTGATATAATTTGAATTTATCTCCTTAAAAAATAAAAATAAACAAAGGGTTGAAGACCACTAAAATGAGAAATTGTGATAATTTTTTTTTGCCATTATTAACATGTACAGATACTCTTATTTGCATGTCATTTTAATGCACTTATCTTTTGCACTGAGATAGAGCCAATGAAGAGTTTAACACTGATGGCATTACTGGTATCTTTAATCATGTTGTTTGTAATATTACAGAAAGAGAGTTTGTATATACAACAAATAAACAAACACATTTATGAAGCTATTTCAAAGTTTTGAATCACAAACAACCTCAGTTCAAAGAGTAATCTAATGTGTAGCTAAATTATTAAATGCTCAAATAATTGGTTTAAATATTTAAAGTACGTTCATTACCATTTAGTTTTCATTTTCAATATTTCTATGAAATGTGTTGAGTTACAACATTTTATTTTCTATATTTCTATTGAAATGTGTTGAATTACAACATATTTTAACTGCTCTGGCTGGGGAGCTGGGGAACTAAATTGAGTGTTTAACACTACAGGTCAGAAATACATTGACACTATAGTGTTCCTTTAACAAATCTAATATATGTTTCATTACTGCAAACATATCTATTAAAGTAAAAATTCTGCATAAATGATTATTTCAAATGGTTAAATTACAGAAAATATAATTGGATGTTTTGTTAACCCCCAGTTACTGGAAGGACATTAGCCAGCATAACAACCCAATCTATTATAATATTTTTACTAACCAACATGTCTTCAGCATGTCCTTCTTTTATTTATGAAGAAAATACATTGCTTTTGATTATTAACAGGGTTATTGATCAAACACTGGGTTTTGTCTGGCTGGAACTACAGGACACATTCAGAGATCTTGTTGAGTCCCTGCCTTGATGCATCAGAACTGTTTTGGCAGCATGATGGAGACCTACCTTTATATTAATGTAAATACAACTGCTGTGTGATCACATTTAGCTACAGTAAATTTAAGAACATATTTACCCATGCCCCCTTTGTAAGGGAGACCCTCAGAGTCTAAAAAGATCTGGTGAGATCTACTTTCTTCCGCCTGCTCCTAGATTGATGCAGTGCTCTACCAGATGGTCAGCAGCAATCTCTGTGTATAGGAGCTGTGGCATAAGAGGGAGCTCTCCCTCTCATGCTTCAAACACACAGTTCTTAAGTTAAGAAATCCCTCTGCTGACAGTACTGATTTTAAAAGAGGACATCTCTTTGAGTTGGGTGTAGGGAATGGGATTAGAGACGATATTAGGGGAAAAGATATATATGTGGGACATCAGTGTAATTGAGAACAGTAGTAGAATATAAATATGAGATGTTTGCAGTAGTAGGACATGTGTGGTCTGTGAATTTCCCAAAAATAAGCAAGTGAGGGGAAAAAACACACCAAATGTAACCAATTGGAACTATGTTTGTGTTATAATGGCTATACAGAAAGTGTCAAATGCTTTTAGTTACATGGCCTGGAGGAGGTACTTTATACCTCCCACAGGCTATACTTTACACCTCCACTAGGTTATACCCTTATTATTTTGTGTAGTTGTTTGGATTCTGTTACTACTATAAAAGTTGTAATCTCAGGTCGCCACATTTTTGCAAAGATTTAATTTTAAAATGATAATTCACAGTAAGTTAAAAAAATTAAAAGAAAACTAAATATAAATATGCTAATCACTTTTTTAAATGAATGAATATCTATTTTTTTATTTATTAGGTTTTAATAATAATAAGAGATTGGAGCTTTATTTTTCTTTCCTCCTTGCAAACTACTACATAATGATACTATAATAGGAGGGGTATTTGTAGACTTGTTTAATGTGATATAAATTATAACTGAACTGAAAAGTGTTTTGTTAATACAGAATTTGTGTTTTCCTGCAAAGTATCTATTATTTACATGTACTAATTTTAGAAGTACTTATAGCTTAATATCTTGCTATATGTTCAGATATGTAGATATTTGTTTTTTCCATTTCTTACCACTGTACATAAGTGTTATTTTACCTTAGTCAAACTCCAGCAACAACTTTTTTTTGCAAAATTAAAGCAAATCTGAAGCAGTCTTTGTGTATCCATTTCTTTATATGACATTTATTTTCATTAGAGCTATCATGGGGGTAGTTAATGGACTTGTATTAAGATAAGTGCTTTCACAAATATGTTTTTTACTCTTTGGTTCAAGTCATTGTCTAATGGTGAATGACTTAATTATCGATGTGAAGCTTACCATTTTATATTTTTATTATACACTTTCAGAGCATTCAACAGGGACTTAAATACAAACATTTATAAGGAATTTATGGTATAAATTAGAACAATTAGAATTACAGTCACTTGCGTATTTTGGTGTTTGGTTTAAACAAAGCCTGTAGAATTTGAAGAGGAAAAATGTGCTGTGATGAGTACCATCTGCTCCCATTTTGTTACATAACAATTTGCATAAAGTCTATTACATTTGCTGTGTACCATTCTCCAAGAATTTAATAACTTAAAACTGTGCATGACATGATGTGTTTGGAACAAATATAAATGAATATAAAGGTACTATTCTTTTTTTCAAATATTGAGCATGAGATTTATACTTTTGTTAAACTTGAAGAAAATGACGTTTTCTAAATTAGTGAATTATTACAGTGCCACTGTCACATTTGAGCTTTTCAAAAAGAATCTATATGAAAATGTAATTTAGTCTGCATTAGAATTTCAGTGAAATTCAATACAATAAATGTGTTGATTGATAGCAAAATACATCTTCTTGCATGCTGCACAGCAGATGCCTATGCTCAAGGACCTATGTATGGGTGATCTGGCGATCTCATAGGATCTCTCATAGACTGGAATTTATTATCTTTTTGCATACAGAGAGGTGCATTATTGAATTTCATAGAAGAGGTTTCAAACCCACCGGAACTGAAGATTAAGCTGAACCTGAACATATTTTATTAATAAACTAGGCAACACAAGGCACTAATTATTCTAGTTAATTAAAGGGAATTCATTTTTTTAAACCAACAAGCAAACACTTTTAAACAAACATACAAATCATATAATAAATGTATATAAACTTGGCCAGCTTTCATTAATGGGCACACTTCTCAGTCATGGGAGATTCTTAAGCCACCCCCTCCTCACACAGACCAATCTCAGTTTCAGACTAGTCCATTAATGACAGAAACAGGGTGTAGCGGAGAGCTAGCCTCTCACAGACTATGTCCGCTGATAATCCCAGTGAGGCTCAGGAACAAGTAATAAAGTTAAGAGAATAACAGGCACGATCTGTAACACAATCCAAGGATATCCCAACACCTTTCCCAATAACTGGACGAGACACAGTTTCAGGAGCAGAACTGAACTTTTAATTCACACATCCTTCTCAGCGGTGTTCGGGTAATCGAGTGTCTGATTTGAGTTCGATGAGCGTTCGTACGCAAGATGGCCGCCGCCACATTGTTCCTATGCCGAACAGCGGCCACCCAGATACACACAAAGTAACAATTTAATTAAAAATTAGCCTGTGGTTACAGAGTAGGAAATACTAAACGAGGGGCACACTTCTCTCTGGGGTGGTCAGATGGTTTGGTATTTTCATTCGTATGGTGAACAGAATGAAAATACAGAACAATCAGACGAATGCTATGTACAATAAGAATATATATAGCAGGAATTTAATGAAAGCACATTGTAACATGAAATTTTGCAGACAGCCCAATGCCATCTGCTACACAGGGCATCATTGTGCAACAGCAAAAGAGTGAAATCCAAAATTGGAGCTTGCTCTGCATTAATCACACTGACTAGACCCTCTCTATCTCAAGATGTTGCAAGATGAAGAGATCTTCCAACTGCACAAGTGTAAATCTGTCAGTCATTCTAATTACATTTGGACACACCTGGATTAGGTGTGGGCAGAATAAGATAGAAAGAACGCAAATATGAAAGAAAAATTATACTAAACTATAAAGTTAGTCAATTGTCTCATTCAAAGCTACAGCTTTCGAATGAGCCAATTGTCTCAAAGTGATGCATGTCCCTTTAAGAAAGGGAGGCCATGAAGATATAACATTTTGGCATAGAAATGTATAAAGATAAGATAAAGATACAGAGATAACACAATAAATGTGTACATATGAACAATCATTGTTTGGTGCAAACCATACCATCAAGTCACATGATACAGGCGAGATCATTGTTTGGATTAAAGGACCACTATTGGCACTCAGACCACTTCAGTTTAATGAAGTGGTCTGGGTGCCAGGTCCATCTAGGATTAACCCTTTCTGTTGTAAACATAGCAGTTTCAGAGAAATTGCTATGTTTACCTATTGGTTAATCCAGCCTCTAGTGGCTGTCTCATTGACAGCCGCTAGAGGCGCTTCCACACTTTTCACTGTGATTTTCACAGTGAGAAGATGCCAGCATCCATAGGAAAGCACTGAAAATGCTTTCCTATGGACTGGCTGAATGCGCGTGCGGCTCTTGCGAGTTCGTTTTCCTGGCACTATAGAGGTTCTTTAAGGCATGTTCATGTCTCCTAACAACATAAGTGTGACAAGACCAATCTTGCCATTGTGCATTGGAGGAGCCTGGTTGCCTGCCTGCTGTCTTTACACTATGGCCCCATGTTTAACACTGTTCTTTTTCCCTGCAGAAAGGCTGGTTCGTGCCTTTCTGTGGACTGTTAAAGTCACGAACGCCGCTGAGCCGCCAACCTCCCTTCTCCTACCTGCAGTCAATTATCCGAACACTGG